AACTCGCTCGGTCCAGATCATCCAGATTTGGCTCAAAGCTACAACAATATCGGCCAAATCCATGACCACATGAGGGAGTACTCGAAGGCAATCTCATTTTACGAACATGCTGTGGAAATTGGACAACGTTCATTGCCTGAAAATCACCCTCATCTTGAATTGTACCGAAAACATCTCGCTGAAGTACAGAAATATTGTAATCCGTTTTAGTTTTGTTGAATAAAATGCTAATTCGCTAAGGCAATGAATATATGTACGTGCAAGAAGGCCTTTTCTTCTTTTAATGAAGAAGTAATAATATAATTTAAAAATATATTTAAATGAATACCTTCGATTTGGAAAGCAATGAATGACCGAGGTCGAACAAATTGTTTCATATGAAATAATGAAAGAAATAATAGTTGTATTTGACGATATGTTTTATCTTCATCAGATATTCTAAGTCAAATAACACTTTCAAGTAGCATAAATTGACACAGAAAGTAAATTAACTCATGTAAATCGAACCAGACAAAAGCTGCCAGTAGACTGCCGGTATAGTGATCAGTATAATGTGAGCTATAAAGGCTGTTTTTTTGGGGAACGGGGGCAGGTGGCGTACGGTGTATTGTATCAAAATGATTAAGTATTTTTCAAATCTGTTAGAACTCTTAGAACTGATTGCGTTTCGTTGCACGCTACCTAACTTGATGCGCCTGAGACGTCTGTATCAACCACAGAGCCCAAATCAGTTCCAATTTTGAAATTTTGTTTTTCATTAACGGTGGCACTGCAAAAAGTTTTATTAGTACAATACATACGTGAAGTGAACAGCCAATTTGAGTAATTCCAGCAGCAGTTCATCCATGAGGCGTTCTTATTTGTGTTCCAAGTAGATTTCGACGTGCTCTATTGAATGTCGCAATCAGATTCACGAGATCTCAAACTATACTTTCACAAATTGAAAAATACTGGTTTTTTTTACCATAAGTTCCAGAGAAACTTCGGACTAATTTCAGCACCGATTCGCTCAGGATGTGTTCCAGATCTTTTTCTCGGTGTTAGTGGATAGAGTGCCTCGAATTCTCCTTGGAACACAAAGAAGGTGACCTGAAACATAGTATAGGCGAATCGGTTTCAGAATTATCCCTAGAGTTCTCTATTGCCTATATGAAAAAACTAGTATTTTTCAATTTGTGAAAGTATAGTTTGAGATCTCTTGAATCTGATTGAGGCATTCGACAGAACATGTGGAAATGTGCTTGGAACATGAATGAAAACACCAAGAACGTATCGTGGGCGAATCGCTGCTGGAATTATTCACATCGGCTGCTAACTTCACTAATGACACATTTACACTCTTCGAAATTCTCTTCAGAGTTTTCATGCAAAAATAAAACAAAAAATATGTTCATTTCTATTTCTTTTAAATAGAATTGTAAAACTATTTCAAATGAATCAACAAAAGAAAAACTAACATCTGACAAGAGTATTCATGCAATAACTTAAAACGATCCATCAGAACGGTAGTACACTACCTTCTCAACGATTAACACCTAGTGAATATGAAAAAAGTTCAACTCATACATCTTATTATCCAGTTTCAGTTATTATATCAATGGATGAAATATGTCGTCAAAATGATGTTGAATATTGGAGAAATAAAATTTATATACAAGAAAAACTCTATTATTTTCTTTGGTCGTCTTCTATTAAATTTCAAGATTCATCTGTACCAAGTAAGTATTTATTAAGAAAATAAATTCATATCAATATCAGAAATATAAGGTAATGAAGAACATGCTCCAATACCTTTTAATTTACACATAGCTATATAAGATGCAAAACGAAGTAATTTATCTCTAGACCAAAATTCTTTTGTTAAAAGTCCATAAATAATTGCTCCTGTAAATGCATCTCCACTACCTGTTGTATCAATAATATCTTCTGATTGAATAGGCCATGCAGTACAATTCCATATAAGAAAATCTTCTTCATTTATATGAATAATTTCTTGTGTAACAATACTTCCTTGACTATTTGTATTTTCAATTGGATTAAATAATTTTTTATTTAATTTTTCAACAAGAATACTTCCATTTTTACCACGAGTTATTATAACAAATTGACAAGTTTGAAGCAAACGTATAGCTGTTTGTATTAAGGATGAATCTTTACAAACATTTTGTGAGTAATTTTCTGTTGTAATTATATAATTCATTAATGGAATTAATTGATTTAGAAATGGTTCGTCACGTTCAAGATCAAATGAACATGTAATAGCTTTATCTTTAGCTAATTTTGCTAATTCTACAGCAGCTTCTAGTGAATTACTATCAAAATGAATAAAATTTATTTTATCTAAACAATTTGGATTAATTTCATTAACAAATATTTGTTCATTATTTGCACTATATAAACATGTTCGAGTTTTTGATTCTAAATCAACAATAACATATGATAAAGGAGTTGTAAGTGATGATTGAATAACAATCAATGATGTATCAATATTTTTTTCTTCTTGATAATTTTTCAAAATTTTTTCACCATTTGAATCATTACTAATTTTTGTTAGAAGTTTTAGTTTAATACCTAAACGACTCATACATGTTGCTGTATTACTAGCATTACCACCAACACATATTGTTAATGAATTTGTACGAAGTTTTTCATCCAGTTGAGGAAAATGACTAACTTGAGCTATATAGTCAACACAAGTAGCACCAAATACGAGTATAGAACTCATTTTAAAATCTAGAATACAAATATGAATTTATAATTTAACTAGCGATGTAGCCAGAATTTTGACAATACGAGCAGCTTAACCGGTCGAACTCTATCTGATATTGAAGCTCGTAACCAAATGCAATTTGTTCGATTCGGTAGCTTTTAATTAGACCATTAGGAATAATTCAACCAGATCACATCAACAGATGATTCATTTAGAGATTTTATCAAGAAGAGAAAACTTAATCTTCATTAATCGAAAGAGTTTACTAAAGGATAATAAAGGAACTACCCGAACTGATACCCACCATTTGAGTTCATATTGGTCTCGGTAAGACTAGGAAAATCCTCAAAGAGTTCATGCCCATGGACCTCTGTAACTGAGTTACGATCGTTTTTGCTAAAATTTCGATGCCACTGTAGGTATATACCGAAAAATCAAATAACGAAATTTCGACTTGAAATTTTGTTCATAGATAGGTCTAATGATTCTGGGAATTAAACATTCTCAGAGTCATTAGACGTATCTATAGACAAAGCTTCAGGTCGAAATTCCATTATTTGATTTTTCGATATATATCTACAATGATATCAAAATTTTAGCAGAAACAATCGTAATTTGGTTGTAGAGACCCATGGGCATGAACTCTTTGAGGCTTTTTCTATTCTTACCAAGACCTCCTTGTGAACTCGATATGAGATCAATCTACTTCTTGCTGTATTTTTTGCCGCCTTAGATGCTAATCCTTCAAGTTCAAGTCTGTATGATAATCAAGCTTTTGAACGTGATATTCCAAAAATTAATATTCAACCAGCAGATGATATTGTCTCCATTCATTCACCTCGTCGGGTGTGGATGTCGGTGTCAATGAGCTCTAGGCACTCATCCACTTACTTATCAGTGAATAGTGCGCAGAAGACACAACAATAACGTGTGCATTTTGTCTGTGCACGAGTTTTTATAGATTAACCGACAAGTATGTTGTTTTTTGTTCTTCAATACATCCAGAAGCTTCTATTTGCATGTTCTCTCGATATCTCGTACGAAGAAACGAGAGGAGAGAGATATCAAATCTTGAAATTATTGCAACTATAGTCTGTTTAAAAAGTCCGTGTGTGTGACTGTTTTTTGAATAACTCGAGAACGCAAACAGCTAGAGACTCGTGGTTTTCACCAATCGAAAGAGGAGAAGTTAGGACGCTTTTTTCTCTGACAATGTGTCAGACGGAATTCTTTTAAAACTGATCATCTTTGAAAAATATAGAAAAGAATGCATGAAAGTGATGTACAATACACATGAAGGTTTGATTATGGCCTTTGATTTAGACAGAGAGACTTCAGATCTATAGTTCAAAACATAACACACTTTCTTACGTTTCATTACATTTTCATCGAAGTGTTCAGCTATTATGACAAAAAAATGCAAAAACGTAGTAAAACATCAACAAAATTCCCTATTATTTGTGCATGTAAATACATGATTTCATTTGGTCAACGTTAGAATGCAATTAGAGAGCCATTTGGATTGCATATTGAACTATAGGTCTGAAGTCCCTCTATCTAAATCAAAGGCCATAATCAAACCTTCATGTGTATTGTATATCACTTTCATGCATTCTTTTCTGTATTTTTCAAAGATGATCAGTTTTAAAAGAATTCCGTCTGACACATTGTCAGAGAGAAAGACGCTCTAACTCCTCTTCTTTCGATTGGTGAAAACTGCGGGTCTCTAGCTGTTTGCGTTCTCGAGTTATTCAGAAAACAGTCACACGCACGGACTTTTTAGACAGACTATACCACAAAAATACAGTATCTAGGCATTAACAAGCTAAGGACATGAGCTCATTTCAGGCTACTCATAAGTCGTCAGAATTTACATGATGCATATAACCTCGAATGAAAAGCGATTAGTCATTTGGAGGACTTACATCACTAACCTAGATCTCAATAGTCGAAGTTAACACAGTTTTGAAGTCAAAAACTACTTGTTTACACAGATATGTACTCATTTATATGTAAAAACATTTCAATATCTATTTATAATTTAAATATTGTCTCTTAATTATTTCAAACAATACGTTACAAAAAATTTTGAATCTTTAATCTCAAATTCCAGTTAACTTTTCGAAGTAATATTCGATTAAATTATCATAAAAATTGCGTACTTTACTTTTCTTTCTATTAGTCAAAAGTATGACGGTTGATGACGATGTTCTATGACATATTCGATGTATTGTGATAAGATATCACTCCTTTTTTTGTTGCTAACTACTAAATAGAATAGAGGTCTGACATGTCATCATCACCATCACCATCGTTTCTTGAATATGCACATTTTACATTATCGAAACAACGTTGGTATATGGATCATCTCTTACCTGAACATTTGATTCGTATTGTATGGTGTTTAATTTTAATGTGTATCTATGCTCTTGTTGAACTTGATTATTTGCCTGGTAAACAATGGAAAATTCGTAAAGATTTGCATACATCATCACAAGAAATTATATACTACATTAAATCATCAGCTCTCAATATGCTTAAATGGCATGTCGGTCCATTGATAGTGTACGAAATATTGTTACATAAGTCAAGTTTACACGTGTACGAAGCACCAAGTTGGTGGACACTGTTATGGAAATCAGTAGGTTATACCATCATCTTTGATGTATTAACACATTTATTTCATCATGTTACTCATCTTCATCCACGTGTTGCTTGGTTCTTCCATCGAATACATATGAAACATCATGCTAGTTGTCAAAGATATGTTTATTCTTGGAATGGTTTTTATGCTAGTGCGTTTGAATGTTTTGCCGGAATGATGTTCTTCTTAGGAGCCATGATTCCACTACAAATGGATCCTTTAACTCGTCTTGTATCTATTCTATTTATTCATTTTTCGGCAACAAACCTTCATTCAGGCTATGATTTTCCATGGATGTTTCATAATTGGGGTTCTGTGAGTCGGTATGTATGGCACGGTTCAATTGGTCATTATTATCATCATCAAGTTGGTAGAAAGAATTTATCAACTTTTTGGACATTTCTTGATCGATGGTCTGGAACTTATTATGATCTTGCATCTCATCCTCCAACTCATCCTAATGAGTTTATATATCAACGAAAAAAAATTTGTTATTAAATTCAAATGAATCAATTTTGATTGCAATTTATTGAACCTCGTCATTCTTAACCGAAATATCTGTAAAAAAAAAGCTATACGATGAAAAATTTGCTAGCATTTTGCTTACAAATAATAAAATGTAACACATTCTTATATTGAATATTTTTTTTTTGAGAGAATGTTAGCATTATCAGAAATGAATCATAGTCAATATCGCGTTCAAATCAAAGAATAAATAACCAAATACATTTAACATAACGATTACTATTCTTTACAAAAAGAGACAGAATGATAACTTGTTCTACATCAATATTTTTTTTTATTAATCTTTCAATCCCAGCCACTAATCCAGCAGAACTAATGTTGAGTCGACTAAGAAAATCGATCATGCGAGTGCTCAATTTGGCAAATGTATGATTAAATTCAAGTAAAGTCATTTCACTGTGGAGACACAAAAATATGGACTTTTTACGTTTTTTTTACAATTACAAGATTATTTATCTATATAAGGCTAGGTGTTTCTTACTAAGTATATTCATTATCATTGGTCAATTATCAACTAAATATATTCTTACGACATTTATGTGTGACCATGAATTTTATTTGACTTCATAAATCACTGATGTTTTTATTTGCATTTAAGGTAGCACGATATGTCATCTTCTTGTTGATCCAATTATACATCTTACTGTCGATATTTATCTCGAGATAGTAGAAATATCTAATAGAAATGAACCAACTATATTTCTAGGGATACTATGGTTCGATAGATGTTTAATTCATTTGACCTTTTCTCAATACTCCTCAATAAATTATCTAACATTTTTGTCTTGGAATATTCCATATACAAGTTCTCTATCTTCAACTCGTACTAACTAGAGAATAGATGTCAATACTTTTGATGATCGTTTTCAACTTCTTAATGAATGGTTTCAATCTTTATCTACGTTGATCATTCGTATCAAGGAAATTAACTGTTTACCATCGACGATGATAATCAATTATACGAAGAAGTTCTTACCTATATGCCACGATTAAACAAATTTATCTTCAACATATACACTCACATTATTAACAAGAGTATTAGAATTGATCTTCCATCGAATGATGATATTCAGAATAGGTTCATTAAAAGAGGATTTCAATCAATTGATATGTATGCCGATGATAGATTCATGAATAATAGAAACAACTATCATATTTATTCTCTCCCATATCTATTTCGAAATTACTGGTTTATAAGTACCTGTTTTCAAGGTGGTAAATTCAATAAATAATGTACACAACGACTATGTTATACAGTTTCTTTCTGACAGAAACACTCGATTAACTTGTTTGACGAATCTCGTAATTGAATACAAAGCATTAGCAACTGTGATAAGTTATTTTACCAATGATGCGACACATCATCGCTAATTATAGATGATCTATTTGTTCGCCTACAAAATGTTGATTCATATTTTTCCCCTGTGTCGTTAAAATATATTTCAGTCATCATAAATAACAAATTATTGTATCAGTTATCGATTGGATTCTATATATATATAATGGATATAATAACATTGAATGAAATGATAATATGAATATAAAAGAAATAGAATTTAAATAATTGATTATATTCTAATTTTTGAAGAGTATTGAGCATACAATTAATTATTGACAACGAGATTTAAAGTAAATATTAAATCTTTGACGAGCATATTATACGATAAAGGATGATAATAATGAAGAGGTTTATTATATAGATCAATAGAAAACAGCCTATTCTGAACTATTGAGTAATTTAGTTGACATAATAAATATGGGCCTCTATTTGATTAGCAAAAACGATATGAATATATAAGATTAATGCATATGAAAAAAGATAAGTTGTCTAGTATCTTTTACAACAGTAATATTGAGATCTTTAATCTTTTCAAACAATTTTCTCTCAATAATAGTAGAAACTTTTAAAAAATGATAAAAATAAACATTTCTTTCTCGTCGTATTATTTTATCAAATAAACTTTTGTTGCTTAAAAAGTTCAAATTAAACTTCTTCAGAACTAATTTACCTCTCAATGATGGAAGATATTGAAAAAGAATTTATTTTTGTTTAAATACCATGACCACTCACTTATTATTAGAAGAGCGTCGAGGAGAGAACCAAAAAACCGAGACATTCGTCAAAATTTTATTTTTTTAATTTGTTATTGGCAATCGAAAGATCATCATCAACATTTATAGTTTATCACTAATTAAATCAAAATAATCAATGAAAATATGCTCATTGATTATAAATTTATATTTAATAAAAATATACTATGGATTTGTTTATTATAATTCGTGCACATATTTTTAAAGGTTGCATAATTTCTTTTTCTCCAATATTGATCGTGTGTGTAGTTTAAGCTTTGAACTCATTTTCGAATGAGACATTCACAAGCTATTGATGTGCTTTATTACAAAATTTTTAATATTATAATAAACATTGACATTATAAGAAAACAAAAATAGAACAAAGAAAATTCTCGTTTTATCAAACAACAAACATACACGCACTCTGATTATTTTTTGCTATTAAACAATGACATGACAATTCCAGTTTAACATGAATAATAACGAATAGTGAGAAAAAGAAAACACTTGAAGATAAGAAAGAAAAAAAGATTAATGTCTAAGAATGAGAAAGAAAAGAAAATTGAGGATTTCATTCTATCTCATTTTCAAGATGTGAAAGTATAGATAGAGTATCAACATTATCATTATCATTTGGTGGTAATAATGGTTTACTATACAAAAAAAAATTTATTTATTTTCTGTGATATTATCATTAAGATAAAATTTATTTTTTCAATTGGTCAAAACTTATCATCATCTAAATAAGAAAATAATAGGGATATCCTTTAAATATAAATCTATATATAATCTATCGGATTTTGTTAGACGACTGTCTCGTGAGAGTAAAATCTAAGAGAGAGGGAGAGAGAGAAGATAATTATGCAAAATTACTATTGAAATGGTTCAAGTTTAAGAAAAGAAAAGAAATGTTTTATTCTTCCCATTTTAATTTAATCACCTAATTGATTGACTATTATTAACCTTTCAGCTTGTTTTTCAGATTCAATTCGACGACATTCTGTTTCAAAACATAGAGAGAAAATGTATTCTCTGCTTTGAGATATTTTTGAAAAGATAAAAACTTCCACCACTATGATGAATAATTCTTACTTTAGTAGATGAAGTATGGTTAAATGCTTTGACATCCATTTTTGGTGGTAGTTGTTGTTGAGATGTTAAAAGTGATTGTCTTATAGTTGTCTCACTAAATTCATCATTTATTTTTAAGCAATAATAAGTTGTTGATGTGTTTATTTTGATAATGCTAAACTTTGTGTACTGCGTATCATATAACCATTACTTAAGAGAAATAATGGTTGTTGTCAAGATTGTCGACTAGCCGAATGAACAAGTAGTTGTTGAGAAGGAGAAGAAGAATTTTTTAGAGATTCAATACAAAGACTGTTAACAAAATAGAAAATTTTAGATGATTCGGTTTGAGTTTGATTTTAATGTGTTCGATCATTATCATCATCATCATTATCAGAATCACTATGAATATGTTCTTCTATTTTGATTATTAAAAAGTGACTTTTTGAAAGATAATGGTGTACAAATATTTTCTTTATTAAGATTTTCAACAATTGTTATTGCTAGTGATGTTGAATGATGCTAAATATGATGATGATGACGATATAAATGCATTTGTGTACCATTTTATATTGTTGAATCAAATAATTCTATATTTGTTAATTCATTTAAAGCATATTCTTATTCATTTAATGTTTGACGAATATTTAAATCAATTTGTTCAAATAGATTAGCAAGAGTTGAATGAAATCTTGAATATTCTCGATCTAAAACAAAACAAAGATTTTAGATAAATTATTTGAGTAATAATACATTATCCTAAATCAATATCAAATTTATCATCATGAAGACTTATATTTGAAGATTGTGGTTCATCTTAATCATGTTCGATTGTGTACAGAAAGTTTCTTCAATAATAATTTGATTTCATTGTTTTACTTGAGGGTGAGTGATGTGAGTGTGAATAGAAGACTTTGACCCACACTCACACCTACACTCTATTCAAAAACTAGTACCAGATGATTTTCTTTTTCTCTATTTTCATGCACAAAATACGGTATTTTTGTTTAAAATCGACGAAAGTCCTCTAAATCAACCATTGATTTCATCATGGGAGATTTCATTACAAACAGAAAGAATAATGTCATCTCTGGAACCTTATATTTTCTACTTTCCTGTACCAAAATTTCGATTATCCGGTCATTCTCAATTGATATCTCGAATTCATTGTGAATTGTTAGTTGATATTATAAATAATACAATTAAACATTCCATATCAACAAATCCTCTAAACTTCTGACACAATCATGGATGTTCGTTTCAATGTCTCCAGTATTAAGATTCTGGTAGATCTTGAAAAGTGTTCATTTTATTTTATTTTATTTCGTTGTGGAAAAATATCGTGGACAAAAAAATGAAAACAAAGTATCAAGTGACAGAGGTGGATGCCTTAGACTGCGACGACGTCTCTTTGTCCTCTTTGTCGAAAAAGTCGGTCATGAACTTGCAAAACTTTGCCATTGGGTGCTCAGCCGGCAGTTCCAAAAGCGCCAGTCGGCAGAATCGGCTGTAGAGCTCTCGACGAATCATCACCATCCGCTGGAGAGCCGCACGATCAACAACAACGCCTTCTCCGTCTGACTCGTATCCTTCTAGGAGCCACGTCGTGTAGAGTTCCGAGTTTGCTTGCGGCACCACTGACCGATCGATAGGCGAACCGCCTCGTTCGAGTACGACGACACCCCAAATTGGTGCCGATAAATCGTAGAGGAACCATGATCGCTGTAGTTGATCCCAGTCGAACATGCACGGCATTCCAACAGCAGAGTCCCAATAGTAGTTGCTCGGATTCACATCACCGTGAATCACCCCAAAGTACGCAGGGTCTG